CTGGAATAGACAACTGAGTCTATTACTGAAGATGTCCCTATGAAGGTACACAGTGAACAAGAGGACAAAACTGAAGTACAGTAGCACAACTAGTGCTACTTAAATAGAGCAGGAATAGAGTTTAATAAGGATGAAACACTGAGTTGGATCAGCGATGTACATGAAACAGGTTTCACTGGGTTGTATCAGTGATGAGGATGAAATGTGATAGAGATGAAACATGATGTAAGTAAAACATGATAGAGGTGAAACATATCAAGCGATGGGATCAGTTGTACAATTACAGGGTCAATGACAAATGGTCAGGAAAGAAGAAAGAACCCCCCCCTTTGATGCTGTAACATTACTCCCCACTCTAGATTCATCATTACAGTTTCCATTGTGCACAGTGCTCCTGCAGGTATCCAGGTTTGTCAGTGGGACATGGGAGTTGTCCAGGTTGAATGTCGGCATTGGTATGGAAGTCATGATGAGGATGCAGGAGTCCACAGAAGGAACACAACCAATGCCAACACTCACTTTGCAGATGTCCATCAACCTCACATTTAGTGCAGAAGCGAAGACATCAAGGTATGGTACCAGAGAAGGAGTGATAATGGAGAATTCGTGTTGTTCGGGACATTCTTCCAAGTTGGTGGCTCTAAGGTGTGTATGACATTGGCTCATTTCTTCTTCTGCACAAAGGAGTTCCACTCCTATAGATTGTTGCATGGCAAGTAGGAGATCTATCTTTGTGTCAACAGCCCTGAAGCAATCAACTTCATCAGTTACCCCAGGATCCTTGATGTCTTGTAGCGATGCCCAAAGGCTTTCCAACAAGCTGTCATCTCATGTCAGCAAGTATTCCCAAGTATCCTCCTCCCATTCCTTGTCCGCAGAGTTCCAATTCCCTACAGGTTCAGCGGTACGGAGCACATCTGCCATGGTTGTTGAGATCCGTTGTAATCCAAATGCAGGATTACCATCAATAGGAACACCCATAGGAGGTCGAGTGACTAGGTCAGCATATGCTCCAGGAAAGTGGGGTAGTACACGTTCCAAGAGATCAACATCTTGGATAGAGATGGAGGTGTCAAAAGAAATGGATTGCCAGGATTGGATAACATTAGTGGAGGGACGTTGGATTATGTTGTCGCTGTAGACCACAAACTCCTAAGGGTTGCTGCTGTGTCCCTCTAATGCTGTGATGTACTTGCTGACATTGGCTAGTAGCTGCAGGTTGGGAGTGTGGTCAAAGCTACTGTTGTCAGAGACATCAGAGGCAAGAGGTGGCATATTGGGAGAATCAGTTGAGGCAGTGGCAGGACTATCAGGGTTTGGGGAGGACAAGGTGTTCATAGGCAACAAGGATGGAAAAACCTGTGTGGGAGCAACGTGGTAAGATCTGGTGGACACTTCTGAGGTATTGTAAGGGATTTCCAGTGGTCCAGGGAATTGATGTAAGACTATAGCATCACTGTTGGAAGATTCCAGGGGACCTGGGATCAGGAATGGTCAACAAGTGACATTTGGCAGGGGTGTGAATGGATAGCGGAAACCCCCTTCATCAAGGAATTCTAGTGAAGAGTTGTCAGATTCTTGCTGAGAAGGGAAGCTTAAGATAGGCCGGATAGGAACCGGCATTTCTATTATTCCAGCTGTGAAACACTCCTCTAGTGCCTGGATGTGGTTTTTGGCAACCAGGAATCGTCTGAAGCTGGGTATCCTTTCCACCAAACCCAGTACAGTGTTTGCTTACCAACAGTCTTTGAATCAATGATACATTCAATTTCAAACTCCTCCTGGTTCTTGATTAGTTCCAGTGATGGTCAGAGGTAGTTCTTCCCATGTATTGTTGTTTTCAAATAAGGATAGAGTAGTCTCGCATGAAACACTGGGTGTATCTTCCATTTAGTCAGTAATTTCAAACAGTAGACAATCGATGACAGCTTCTGATCAATGGTGAAGGGACCATAGTGCTTCAGCCCAAGTTTCACCTTTGGGTGGTGTTACAGCGTGAGAAGGGGGTTCTTTTTCTTGTCCTAACTATTTGTCGTTGACCCTGTAACTGTATGACTGAAACCATCACTTGATATGTTTCACCTACATCAAGTGTTTCATATCTATCATGT